AAGCGCACCAAAACTTCCATGTGTCACCCTGTAGTGACCACCGAAAAATCACATTTCAAACAAGATCCCACTCTGTGCGCTTGAACCTTGTCATGTTGCTCATCATGCTCCTGCTAAAGGCAGCAGCAACAATACTTCTACCGGCATCAGAGAGGCAGGTTTTACCTCAAAAGTATGCTATCCTTCTGGCCAAGAACTGAATGTTTAGAGAAGTCTTTTGGAAATCACAAAGGTCAGCTCAGCATTCCCACTGCTTTGCATCTATCTGGAATCCAACTCTGTGGATAACAGGAGTCAGTGTTTTATAATAGGAGAAATAATGTTTTGCCACTAGGGATTGTGTCTGATATTTACTACACTGGTATTAAATCAATTATATGTAAATTTAATGCTTTCATACCAATTTCTTATTTTAAAATTAGCACTGTCAATCACCCTCATAGGAGAATGCAAAACACGGAGAGAGGAAATAACTTTTTCTGATTTCCTGTCTCCCCCAAATTTAAAGCCATCTAACCAGCTTTAGACAGAACACTATATGAAATATCAGAAGTGCAAATATCACAGCCAAAAAGAAAATAACTCTTCTTAAAGTAAATGGAAACTTTCTTGAAATGCTGTGATTTCCTGTAGTGTGTAAACAGTCTGATCATTATGGTGAAAATAATCTCAGCTTAATAGAAGAGCGGATTTTATCCTTTGCCCCATATAAAAAGCTCACAGCAAAGGTTAACATAACCTCAGTTAAATATTTAATGTTACAGCCTGCAGTATACCTTGATAAAACTCAACACTACCTTTGCAATAATGTAACAATCTCTCTCTCTTTGATGGTACACAAATCCCTCCATTACACGAATTATGGTTAATACACAGGAGTCTCCTTGCTGTCTGCAGGTCCATGTGGCACCACAGGACACGCTGATCTGTGTTATTCTGTGTGTTGGCTAAATTACTATGTGCATACCAACACCTTTAGGTGGGTTAACTAGGTCTGTGTATAGGTCTGAAGGCTCAGGCTACAATTTCTCATTTTTGCACAAAACTTTGTTCTGCAGTGTCCACACATACAAAAAAAAAAAAAGGACACTTCATTTAAAATCAGTTTAGCAAAAAGTTCCCGCTGTCCAAGATCTGCACTGTCAAAGCATTAAACAATCTGCCTGGCCTGGAGTCTGCAGGCTGCCAATGTGCTACCCAAAAAAAGGAACATTTTTGCATCTCAATAGACCTTCCAGTATCAACAAATCTTTAAACTATAAAATCAGCTACTCTAAGGAAGAGCAGAAATAATGTCTACATTGTACCACGCTGAGGTACATTTTTGGTAATTCCCATTTGCAAAACATACCAATTCAATGTAAGTACAGCTGCTGGAAATATTTTAATAAGAAAAATAAATTAAAGCTACTCACAGAAGTGTATCAAGCCCCTGAGAAAGATTCTGTTACACACACACAGCTTAGAAGCACTCCCGGGAAAAAAGGTGCATCCACTGCACATGTGTCTTTGCACACGTGCAGAGTTTGAGCTCTCACCGCTGCACCATCCCCAGCTCCCGAAAGGTCACGAAAGATTCAGGCTTTTAGAAATCTTACCCTAATGACTCCCACAAATAATCTACTGTAACACAGAGTCTGGGGAGGGGACCATGGCCATCATGCATGGAAAGAATGTAAGAAACAGCATAAAAATGGCTGAAAGCCACTCCAAGTAATTTCCAAAAATTTAAAATTATCCTGTAAGCATTAGGGATTTCTGTGGGCCAAGGTATATTTTCATCCCTTCCCCAGATGATTTTTTATTGTCTCTGATATTTTATCAAAATGCTAATCACTTCTAAACTTGTAATATCAACCTCTATGTATATGAAAAAATGTGAAAAAACCTGATCTCAGCTTTGCCTTCTCCCAGTCATTCGAAAACTAAAAAATGAAAAGCACACAGTGTTGCTGCTACTGTCAAATCATTATAAATCATTTATAATAAGTAGAACCACTTCACAAATACTGAATAGCCAGTACAACCAAAGGGATGTGTTAGGGACTTTTTTTTCAGTCCATTTCTCACAGTGTTTATTCACTGAGTAATCCCAAATTTTTGGCTTCCTCTGTGTCAGTCTTTGGGGGGAAAAAAATTAAGGTGTCCACAGTGATTTTATTATAGGTTTTGTTTCCTAGTCACCAGTCGTCCTGGGATACAGTGTTTTGCATGAGCATTCATTATGTGATACCAGAAGGATGTATTGATTTAACACTTTGCTTTCAGATAGTACCAAGTCCTACTAGCTATTTCACATTAGAAAAATAAATGTATCCAGAAGTGGATAATAATGAGAGACTTACTCAACAGTATAGTGTATTTTTTTTATTTCAGAGAATTATAAAAATTTGCTTTTTTCAATAATGGACGGTAAGTTCTTTTCTGAATAATTTCTAATTCTGTCTGGGCCAAGTGATTTCCCAGACATGCCTATCTGTATGTAAGGTAATATTTGACACTAAGCTCCCAATGGTTGAGCTGACCATCACTTTGTCTTCTTATTTCCTGGCTCCAGTACTGCATCCCATAACTGTCTACAGAAAACTAAATCAAGAGCAAAATAAAGGAGTTGGGTTTCTATGATCTTTTCCACAAACTGAGAGGAAGACGGAACTAATATCACTCACAGAATCACACTCCCATACCTCCTATCCTTCAGATCAGCCCCTACCTTAAAGAAGTTTCAGTTCTCATTATTTTTTCCTCTATCCATCAATCATTATGAAATATGTAAGATTAGGAACTCTGTTCAGTAGATAAAAAAAGTTAACCTCCTTCCTTTTTTTTTTAATATTTCAAACTGACAAAAGCAACTTGCCCAATTTTCAAAGAAGAAAAGTGAAAATTAAAATACTGTAACTAAGGAAAAGACCCAGAAATCTTTAGCACAACAGAGTTCAAAGAGCAAGGCAGCTAATGGTGTACCCAAAAGTAATTCCTATTTTAAGGGTGTTGATATGGTTTTATCAGTCAGTATAGACATAATCTGCTAATAAATCATTAAAAGACATAAAAGTTGGATTGTACAAATTTTAAAATGCGATGAACTAATTTATATGGATTGTTAATACAGAAGAATAAGACTTCTTTTTCAGAAAAACATGGAAATTATAGGTTCTTCATATTTCTGAGAACCCATCAAAATATTTCCAGTTAGATAAAAATACTAATTTGAAAAAATATTTATATATGTATGTAAATATATATATGTGTATGTGTATATATATATACATTAGTGCTTTTTTATAAAGACTTCTAAAAAGTGTCTGAAATTTTTTTTTCAAAGGGCATAAGAAGCAGTTTCCCGTTATATATTCAGCGGTGGTTAAAACAGATAATATAATGGCCTTATTTTACTGCTTACTAAGATTTTAGGCTCCAGCTACCGACCAAATTTAGACCTTTATAGAACTGATTCTGCAAATTTTCAGATTTTTGTTTAGTTGGGTTTTTTTCATTCTTTAGTAGTCAAAAAAATAAAGGAAAATTATTTGTATTCTGATAAGCCACAATTTAAGTGGCTTCTCTGGTCAATATATTCTGTGCACAGCTAAAAACCACTACAAGAACTGAAGTGGGATGCATCATACGTACAGCATGAATTCGACTGCTAGATGGGTTTATGTCTATATGTTAATACATATTTCTAATGGAAGAGAGAAATATAATCCTGCCATCTACAGTGAGCACACACCCAAGTTAGCAACAGGGAACCTGTCATACTGTAACTGCTTCTCATACATTTAAAATCTGACAATAACTATTCATGGCCTGTAAAGTACCAAAGTCTGTGGTCTCCCTAAACTGAATGCAGGGTTTAAGTGACAGACATGCTGTTTTATAATTAGAATAACTGCAATACTTTTAAGACCACTGACTGTATTTAAAGGAGCTTTTAAGTCTTATATGTATACAGAGACAAATATTCCTATGTATAAACTTAGCAGACCATGGAATAAAACATATATCTTGCCTTTTGTCTTCTTCTTACATGTTACAGTAATGGATGCTATGGTTATAACTGTTCTTATAAAAGACAATAAAAGAAACCAGCAGATCATCACTTCCATTCTAGTGAGGTTTGTCTGCACACTGACCGCTCCTGTGGCAAGTTTCTGTAAGTTCTGATAGGGAGCAGCTATCACTGGTACATGAAAACATCTAGTGATGACTCCAGGAGGAAGGCACTTATTTGTCGCTCTGTTCAGGTCCTCAGAATTTGACACCTTTTCTAAACCCAGTTTTCTCTACAGTGGGAAAAACATACCTCACCAGAAGGGGAAGTTGCTTATATATAGGTCCTTTTATTAAAAAAAAAGAAAGAATAGGAATTATTTGGTGTAGCAAATATTTGCCGTCTCTTATCACCCGAGCTCCTTCCTTTTCTCTTTTTTCTTTTTCTTTTGCTTCCAGGGCAACCAGAGAAGTGTCAAAATTGATATATAATTATGTTGCTTCATAAAAAAAAAAAGGTTACTTTTTATTAATATTTAACTCAGGTTTCATATTCTTAGATATGTAATAATATGAAATCTTGTTTAAGTGTGAACTGTCACCACAAAATTTAAGAGGTGATTAGTTGTTTTAGTGTAACAGATGTGCAGCCTTCTGGGGTTCTAAACCTTCCTTCTTCAAATGCATGACCAACCTGCACAATTAGCAGGAATGATTAAACAAAATTCAATCAGAGCTAAATAGCAAAAGCAGAAGCACTTGCTTACTAATACTACATCAATATATAGATTATTTTATGTAACACTTTGTAACATTTGGCAAACATGCCAGTTTGGCTCTACAGATTTGAGTCTTCCTTTGATTTTTTTTTTTTGTTTGTTTCCACACACTGAAAGAACCCCAACCACATTACTCCAGACCTGAAGAAATCATTTGCATGGCTGATTAAACATAACATACATGTAATCACAAAAAGCAAGAGGAAAAAAGAAATAGTTTCCTACCCGTAATAAGGACTGGGATTCGTCCTTCGTCTTGCTGTCCCCGGAACCAGAGTAGGGCTGGGTGAGCTGCCCAGGTTTCTCCGTTGCTCCCGCTGGCACGCCCTGCAGGAAACCCTTGCTCTCCACTGCCAAGCCGTACATGGGCCTTGCGAGATGGGCAGCTTCGACATTTGGACTATCCCGTAAAGGCTTTGGCTGCTCTTGGCCAACGGACACTGGGGTCAATAAGCCCAGACTGGTCTGTGTGTATGATGGGCTCCCCCTCAAAATGTCTGTTCCTCTCCAAGTCACGTTGCGAAGATCATCACTGGGGCTGTCAGTCCAGCCTTTCTCCTTGAGCACTTCCTTATCTTCTATCTTTTCCCTCTTCACTATGCTGTCAGATATGGGCTCCCCCATTTTGGGATCTGGATTAATCAGACTGTAGACCTTGAGGTCAATTTTTGGCTCCTCCTTGATTGACGAAACTCCATGACTGTCCTCCCCATTGGCTGTAGTGATGTCCATCTCCTGACAGTGCACAGTGTTGAAGTGCTCTAGTAGTGACTGAGTGTCAACAGCTGTGAAGCTGCACTGACGGCATTTGTAGCAGTTGTGTACTCTCCTGGAAGAAAACCACAAACTATTAATATAAGAGTCTCCCCTTGGCCTTCCCTCTCACAATGGTTCTACCTTCCAAGATTAAGAAAATAAATCAAACTTAGTGTGATCCCCTCTAAATAAAGCAAGCAGGTTTACTTTGGTGTCTTGTACAATAAGGCGAAAATCCTCCTGGTTTTTCCCCTCATGCCCTGCAATGGCCTCCTATCATTCATTCACATTTCTCTGCATTATTCTAAACTTTATAAAATTTTCACTGGGATTTTTTGTTGTTTCTCTTCAGTTTGCTGCAATACACTTTTCACTTTCTACTGCACTAGAAACACTAAAGAAACACATATTTGTCAACCAAAATCAAATAGTTAGAAGAGGATAGTTCTTTTTTATAAAAAAAAACACTTTATATAATATAGATCTATGTTAGAAAGTTAAAATTTTTCAAAAATTCCTGTACTTTCCACCAATTTCATATGCTTTTGCTTGACAAATATGATTTTGAATGGAGCTCTGCTTAACTTACGGATAAGTATACAGGAAAGGACAGAAGACGTACACAACAGACAGTACTTCTTGGTTCTCTAACACATTTTAACATAACTTTGAAAGATGCCACTCTAAAGAAAAAGCAAAACAATTGGCTGTGTCACTACAAACTGTGTTTTCCTGTCAAATACAGATATTCTTGGGTAGGAGCTGTGGAGTAGTGTGGAATAATACGCCTTCCTGTTTTTACTCTAAAAGCCTATATAAAGTACTGCATTACTATATTATGTAAAGCATATGTTGCTATATGAGAACAACATGTTACCCATTTACTGTATCTATCATAGGAACAGAACACTGTTTATGAGCTCTCTAACGCCATTATGAATAATTGTTTATAGTACGGGAGCGGTCAGAGCCCTCTGCCAGGCTCCGGGCCCCGCTGCGCCCGGCATCCTACCAATGCAGAGCGAAATACCACCTCTGTCCTCCAAAATGTACAGAACTCTACGAGAGCTTCTCTCCCTACAGACATACTCACACATCCACACCCCAGGCATTCAGAGTCACTGCAGCGTCTTTAGCCAAGGTAAAAAATGAGTCTTTTGCTATCCACACAGGACAAAACTTGTATGAGAAATCTGTTACTGCCCTGACAACTCCAGTTGTTTGAATTAATTCTTTTAAGGCCAAATCTTTGTCTCTGAAGTCGATGGCAAAACTCCCATTGACTTCAGTAAGAGCAGGATTTGGCTCTTGATGCATTTGTAGAATTGGAATGATACACAAAATGTCCCTTATAGACTATGATAGTTTAGAAAGGACAACTTGCCAAACTTATTAAACCCCTTGTCTTCCTTCTTTCCTTTTGTTGGAAAAACAAACCATATGTTATTTACATTGTCTGATTTTCTTGCAGTTGTGTCAGCGTGAAGACATGAGTACATATTCAGACTCAAGCTTTTTAGCCCTTGTGCAATATCAGTTTTCTTTTTGTCATTTTCCCTATTTATATCATTTTAAGCGACTAGATGGGCTTGTTCCGTTATGCAAAAAATACATTCAGCAACTCTCCACACAGCCTTATGGCAACCAAATCTACTTGCGGGAGAGCAAGCTGTGGGTTAAAATCCTGTTCTGGCTGTGTTCCTTTTTCTTCATTCTGCAATTGTGTTTTATTAAAATCAGCTTGTCTCTCAATGCAACACTAATATATTCTCTCTTGCAACTTAATTCTTTTCTAAACCAAGCTTAATTCTCTTCTGAACCAAAAAAAAAAAGTGCTATCTGATCAAAACCATTTTATAAATACAAAAAGCCAAGTTATAAAGAGGGTCAGCCCTATAAAGGTGGGATATCATCAGAGAAGTCCAAGTTAGACAAGGGCTAGTTATCTTAAAAGCCAAGTTAAACAAGACACCATTTGGGGCTAATGGCTCAACCACATACACTCCCCATGTGAAAGTTTATCAATCCTTTGGGACACTACTTAGCCCTAAGTGTCTCTTGTTTAACTTGGCTATTTCAATAGCTAACCCCCTTCCTAACTTGGCTCTCATCTACAGATATCACACCTCCAAACAGCTGATTTTTTTCTGCCTAACTTGTCTTTTTTTTTTCTTTTTCCGTTCCACACTGGCTAAATGTTTTTGATCAGGAGCCATACACACCACAAAAGTGGTACCACACTTTTGAGGACACAAATAAATGCTGATTATTAGATGCAGTTTAAGCTATATGGCTGAGGCCCAAATAAAATTACCGTTATTACATTAAAGGTTTGTTAATTTAAATTATTTCTAATTGGTTCAAAGAGAGTCATACAAGCTTTCCTTTGTTCTTCTGTGAGACTGTGATAAGGACTGTGATGTGGAAAAATCGAGGGCTGACTTCAGTAAGTAGTAACTCAACAGACCTTTTTTTTTCAGGACATACACTTTTCCAGTATGCATTAAAAATCTGCCATTGACATTCTAAATCTTCATACTTTGCATGGGTTTGTCCTGTGTATTATTCTATCCCCAAGCTCCAAAACATAAGCCAAAGTTTGGAACTGTCTAAAATAAGTCACAATCCCAAATACTAAAATAATAACTATCATCGGCTATTACAGAACTTTTGAAAGTGGGAAACTTAATTCTTTTCCAGAACAAGGCATAAAAAGAAAATGTTTACTTGCCTGTTTTCACTCCACCCTGACAGCAATCAAGGATACAAGTTGGTAGTGTTTGATTTCTCTTTTACTAAAATTTAAACCTAATCCATGTTTCTAAAAGCCCAAGTTACATCTAGAGTTGTGCACAAAGCTCTTCAAAGCTAAGCAACAAAATTTTAAAAATTCCAATTTACAAAGTACACAATAAGCAGTCCTGTGCATTACCTCAAAGCTACACTTTACAGCTAAACTACAGCTATACCATCTGAAACTCTGAATTCATCAGGTGTAATACCATGTATTGGTACAGAGCTGCTCAAAGAAGAGATGTTTGAGGAAAATCTCAGTCAGTATGGAAAAAAGTGATGTAAATGAAGAAGGAAACAGCATTCTCCCTTTTGTGGTATTGTTTATACAGCATTCAAGCAAACTGACAGCAGATTCAAGCCATAAAGTGGCATTCTCTGCAATATGGCATTGGGTTGGCAGTGTCATCCCATCCACTCATGTCACTTAGCACTATTATTTTCACTACAAAATAAATCAAAGTTGTGATTATTTGTGGACATTAAAACATCTATGGCCCAATGCTAAGATTAAATGTCAAGAAATTCAGGCCAAACCTTTACTGCACAGTTACATTCTGACAACTCTAAAAAATCCTATCATTATTTGTAATGAAATGCACCTGATTTGGGCACTGTAAGATACAAGGGTTTTCATTTGCAAAATCTTGAAGTTGGAAAGATTAGATGGGGGGGAGGGTTTGATGGATTTAATATTCTTTATTTGAGCTTCCTAATAGGCTGTGATACTCCCGACACTAGTCAGTTGTTAATTAAGTCTTGTTGACATACTTCTAAGTAGTCTGAAGTATTACAAAATACCATCCCCTACAAAACAAGTAATTTTTTTTTTAATTACCTGAAGACAGTCCTAGGCTCTAGGGCATAGAAAATATGCTGGGTGAAGGTATGGCTGTCGTATCACTTCCATTTTTATGCATGTTTTGAATTTAATTATGAATATAATAATTACTATCATTTCTCATGAAGAAACAGGTTTATAAGAAAGTTTACTTTGGGGATGGATGCTGCACTCAAGCTTGTGGGTAGGGAAAATATTCAGAAGGAAAGACAGCAAGAAAAGTAAGCAAGAAACTTCAGTGGAGGGTTAGAAAGGAGAGGAATAGGGCAGAGTGGAGAGCAAGGCTGAGATAAAAGGAGAGTAAAACCCATTGGCAAGAGCAAACAAGTTCAGAGCAGTGAATTAAGGTGTCAGGAGGATGGAAAAGGCCCTCATAGCTGCTGATATTTTTCACTGAGTTAAGGCTCTTGCTCTGCTGCAAAACTGGGAGCTGGTGGGCCTCAATTTACACTTTTGCTCTCAGTTGGCTTCTCTGGGGAGTGTCCCAAAGGCTCCACATTTCCATAGTCTGCACATCTTAGACCCTGCTCTGGCATCTGCTGCCTGAGATATTGCCAGGTCAGCCCCAACACTGCTGCCCCCAACACTCCCACCCCAGAGGTGCAGCCCTGGCGCTGGGAAGGCGCGAGCTCCAAGCACCCCTTTGCCTTTTGCCCGTCTACCTCATTTATCTTTAAGAGGTATGGAATTATTTAATTTGAAATTAATTCGAAATAATTTCAAAGGAGAACCCTACACAACTGCTGTCAACCACATTTTCAAAAGAATTTATTAGAACAATGATTCTGCACCACTGCCACAGCTTTTATTTCATTTGAATCTTTATATTTTCTTTTTATATTTTGCAGTTTAATGAATAACTACCCTATCTTGTTTTTAAAAAGATGTTTAGAGGATTTTTCAGCATAGCATTTTTAATTACTACTAGCACTGATCAAATGCGGTCTGTCATGTAAGGATTTATATGAAAAATTCTGACTTTTGCAAAAATGAGAAAATGCATTGTTTTCCTACATCTTTTAGCAAAATTAGGAAAAAAATTATTTCTGCAAGGAGCTGCTTTGATTTTAAAAAAAATATTCAAAACTAATTATTTTGAAGCAAGCAGGAAAATAATCTCTAGACTAAGTGATCCAACATGCAAAATTTCCCCAAATTCTGTTTGATTTTTATCTAAATTAAGTGTTGGCATCTTCTGGCTCATCAGAATACCAGACAGTTCTGAGAAAAAACTAAGCTTCCCAATGAACATGAAGAGTATCTGATTCCTCGGAGGTATAATGGAAAATGAGTAGTAGCAGAATTAGTGGAAAATGGAGGCCAATAAATCTTATAAGGATTTATTTGAGTAAGCACATTTTAGTGAGGTTTAAATACAAGTAAACTCAAATGCAGTGATTCATTGACTTCAGATTTAACTGAACAGTTCTCAAATAATCATGTCAAGAAATACTGAATGAATGTTAAGTGCAAGTATACATTTCTGTAGACAGAAAACTTGGAAAGAACTGCTTTTTCAAATTCTAATATTGTTGCAAATACATGGCTGCAAAGGAATAACACTGGGACATAGAAAATTTTTTAGCTAGCAAGACATAGTGAAATTGTAGACGTAGAGCCAAAAGGAAGCAAAATAAAAAATAAAATAAATTAAGCATGTTGTTCAGGCATATGACTCAAAAATGAAAATAGTGCAGACAAAAAAATACATGAACCAAAATATGTAAGGAGCATCTAAAGCCAGCTCTGATATTCCAGATTGTCAAATCTAAACCTAAATATGTGAACAGCAGAACACTTTCTGCCATCACATTAATGCTTAGTATTATGTTTATTATTAGAATCCATTCAGCTTCTTATTATATAAATGAACAGGTTTTAGATATATGTGCATGGACAGCGTTTTAAATCCATCATATATATATATATATAATGTGTGCAATAAAAGTGATATTGAGAAAAATTCTGATGAAGAAACACAGAAGCTAAGCTAGGATGTGAGCAGACTCAACATCAGCATTTCTGTGTGTCACATAACTCTCTAACACTACTATGTTATACATGTTCTACTTTTTAAAATCTGAACCATTCTGTATTTTTAGTTCCTAAAATACAAAAAGGGAAAGAAAACACATATCTGATACATGCAAAACTTCTAATAAAAAAAAAAGGCCTGATAATAATAATAAAAATAGAAGCTATAATGCCTCAAAAGTTTTAGTTCAATAGAGTAAAACCTAGGTTTTACATAGGAAAGCAATAAAACCTGCTGGTGTTTGCCATTACAGACCAGCTATCACAAACTGAACTAACTTCTGTGACTTAAAGAAACATGTATAGTGGGGGAAAACAGCAGCAGTACAAGTAGAAAAGAAACAAAATTCAAATTATCAAGGGAGGAGTGCAGAAGAAAGGGAAAGAAGTTGGCAGTTTTGAGGATGTTGTACTTCACTTTAATTACACAATATCCTGAGTACTCAATAATGTCATAGACTGGAGGGTTAACAGAATACATTGTTCGAGTGTCTTAAACAGAATAGCCTAAGTTTAGACAAACAACTTGAGACCCAAATGCTTAAATGTATCTCTTGATTTTCCAAAGTGCAGTTCCCTGTCACAACTGCCACAACTGCAGGGTGCTGAGCCCTCCGAAGGAGAAGCTACAACTGCCTCATCTCAGACTTAGCACTTAATTTTGAAAGTCATGTCTTCTCCTTTCTTTGGGAAAAAGGATCCTAGCTCGGCATGTTTGTTAAAACTTAAATTACCAGCTGCAGCAAAATAAAAGGTTAGTTTTTTTCAGTGAAGGAGCCATTTCAATCTTCCAGTTATTTAACCACTAAAAAAAGATCGTTGCCATGCCCCAGCGGCGGACAAAGTGCTGCCTATGGAGTTCTTCAGCATGGCTCAAAGCTGCTATAATAATGCTTGGAACTTAGATACCACTTTTCATCTTCAAAGCAGTTTACAAACATTAACTAATTAATCCACACAACATCCCTCAGGCCCACTTGGATCAAAAATGGGGCATTGCATGCTGGGACCTGAATCCTCCGTGGGCCCTAGCTCCAAATTAAAGATGAGCAATCTGCTCTTTTTTTTTTTTTAATAGACTCCTGATACATTGCCAATGCAGCCCTCTGTTGGGCAACATTTGGATGCCCCCAGCTTTAATCTCTCTTAAAGTATCATGCCCCAGTCTGCCTTTGTTAATTTTAGATGTCTTGGAATCTATTAAACGTGGCAAAGTTTCTTGAGCTTTTAACAAAGCTTTAGCTTTGAAAATGCATCTTCTTTTGTCTTCATTCTAGCTGGCTTCCACGCAAAGATCTCTTAGATGAGATAGATACTGAGTTTTCCGTTGTTGTTGACGCATTAGCCCTAACTATTAACATATTCAGCATGATTTTCTCATATTTAACACCACTTTTGCAGCGGCACATAACTGTTGCTCTTCACAAAGCCTATGAGCCACCTCCTCCTCTGATGTAAACTGGACTGCCAGTTTACAACAGCCCAGGAACTGACCCAAGAAGTTTAGCGGGGAGTTGGCTGCCACTATGACATTGTGTCAGACTGAGTCAGGAGACTGGCTGCATCCACCTCCAAATAGGAACATTAGCATTTAAAATAAATAGAATGACACTGTAAACCAGCAACACGAAAATAAGCATCTGCAAAAGGATCTTGGGGAATGACATCAACAGACAAAAGAGTGTCTGCTCCCAGTGGGAAACCAACACCAAAACAGCAGTGGAATGCTCTTAAACTAATTATTACATTGCTGGACTTGGGAATGGAAAATACTACAAAAAGGTAGTACATCGAAGCACTGTTATGGAGCATGAAAGGGTTCACAGTCTATCTTGGAAAGTAAAGCCATTTGTGTTCCCTGACTGAATGAAGATGCCAGCTTTCTTGTAAAAAGCCTAAACTAAAACAGTACCTAAAAGACTCTGGGTGGAAAATAGTTGACCAAACCTCAAATATGCTGAAACTTCAGCATCTGCACACAAATCCAAATTTGCCTCTCCATTGCACAGGTTTAAATGTATAATTAAATCCACCAACTTAGCTGGTGGTTTTCCAAAACAAAGTCAATGTTGGATTGGACTCTGGCTGTAAAGATTTATATCTACACATTCATATTTTGATTTCCAGTTTCTTCAAATGTTTGAGGAATGGTGACATTTAATTTAGAAACTATGGGAGGGCTATTTGTTTGGGTTCAAATCATTAATCATTTGAAACTCCACTGTACCTGTAGTGTCGGGAAATCTCTTCTTCCACCTGGGTAGTAAAGTCACATTTGGTACATGAGTGTTCTTTGTTCTCCTTGAGCGTCAGCGGCCCCTCTGCCCCTGGCAGGGTGTTTGTTTCTGGTTTGACATCAGACGCTTGGCCTTCGTGTGCATTCTCATAGTGGAGCAGGAGAACGTCCACGTCGGGAGTGGAGAATGAGCACTGATGGCACTGGTGTTTGACTCTAGAGCTTCCTGTCACCCCTGGAGACAGGTGCAAAAGCAAGAGAGCACAGTGGGAACAATTACTTTTTCTGCAAGCAAATGGATAAGTAATTTCTCCAAGGTGCTTTTCTGGGCTGCAGAGGCCTCGGGGACAGAACTGACAGTGCTTAATGGTACATTTATGAATGTTGTGTAGCTGCTGATAGTGACGGAGAAGTGGGCCCACCACTATTACATCTGGGCCATGGCTCTTTGAGTACCTAAAGTCACAGAACTGACAGTTGTAGCTTGTCACCATGCTGTCCTCTGCTCCTTTGCTAGTCAAGTCTTTCTTTTTTGCCACACTCGCACCCTTTTCTGTCTTTGTCACTAACTCCCCATCTGCATTTTTGGCTAGATCATTCTGGTTAATGACAGATCCCCTAGAAAGCTTATCATTCAGATCTGGGTGAAGGCTTCCTGCCTGGCTTCCCCCATGCTGTTTGCTGTAATGTTCTAATAGTTTCAATGAGCTGGACGATTCACAGCTGAAACTGCAAAATTTACACCAGTAGTAACTGGTTGTATCGGTACCATTTTGTCTAGAGGAATCTATTGGCTTGATGGGCACCGAATATCCAACTGGTGTATCATCTCCTGCTTTTACAGTGATTCTGTCTTGCCACTTCCCCAAGTCTCCAGAATCACATGGTCGAAGAGTAGGACTGGATTTATTGGAGTTTTTCTCTGAAGTTTTACCAGAATCAGAGGAGGGAAGGGCTGCTTTCATTTTGTTTGGGTGAGTCTGTAAGAAGTGTTGCTCTAGTTCAGTGGAGGAGTTGCCCATGTAGGTGAAATTGCAGAATTTGCAGCGGAAGTACTTGGTGTTGCCTTGGCAATCTGGAGTTTTCCGCCCAATTCCAATAAAGGTTCCACCTAAAGTAACCTGTGAATAAAGAACAAGGTCAGTTTAGCTCCACTGTAGATTTATTCAAATAGCAAGGGGGGGGGGGGGGGGAGAAGAGAAATAGAGAGCAACAAATTCATAAGCCTCTTTGATTAACCATCACCTCCATTTTCATTTGTACTAATGTAGTAAGATTTCATACAATATACTCTCACATGTTTAACATTTGTTGATGAAGATTTTTAAATGTTTCTCATAGTAGAATATATATTCCATATGAATAATAAATATATTGATTTGGGGAGACTGAGGCACATGTACACAACATGATCTTAGCACTCTCTGATAGGACTATTCCTTCCTTCACTAAATCATTGAATAATGTCATTGATAAAAGACCCAATAATCCGTTCCCGTATCTCAGAACCCTTTGACAGCAAACTTTGCTGGGAATCTGTGCCAGGTGTGGAACAAAAGAATGGGTCCTCAGTCTTTTTCTTTCAATACACTTACATGCTTGAATCATATTCATGTTTAATAGTCCAAGAGAATTGTTTTCTAAATAAGAGCAAACAAAAATTAAATTTTAAATAACAAATTCAGTTTGCTTTGTCGGAGTATGACCAATTCTTACAAAGACCATTTCTACAGGAGTATCCAGTATCCGCCAGGATGCCTTTTCACAGAGCCGTAGTGGTTGCTGTCTCAAATGAAAGGCAGTTTTCTCAAGGATTACTCACTGCAGACATTCTCCAAGGAAATCTTCTGTTCCTCTCATGCACAGAGCTCAATTTAGTAAAACAAGGATGGAAAAACTACAGTAGAAAAATGGCATGTGGCAAAAAACCCTACCACACCCAAGTCCATGACATCACTAATTACACACACACAAAAAAAGGTAGGTCTACTTAACTGTTCTCATGATGTCTGAGCAAAATGCGCTGCAGGAAGGGAAGAAGGCTTCCAGGGCTGATGTTATTAAAGCCCGTGTTCTCACAGCAGGCAGGCCTGCCCTTCCCAGGAGAGCACCACACCTGCCCCTGACATCAGGGGGAGATTTGCTGCTCCTGTACAACTGGTTTGAAGGCCAAAGAAAGAATCTCTTGACAAAAATGTCACTATTGCACGGCTCCTTTTCCTGAAGAGCAAATAGTGTACAGCATACGGAAGATAATTCCTCTTTACGCCCAAAATCCACAGACATCAACTCCTTTGTCATCAACCACTCCACACCACATGGTGCAGACATGGGTGGAAGCTTCCTTGTGACATATTCTCAGTTTTTACTCCCAGAAGAATATATTCCCTTACAGGGAATATAAAATTCAGCCTTGCAGAGTTTGATTTCCATTCTCCCAAACAGTAAGTGTATTACTACATTTCTGCAGGATTCAGTTCTAATGCATAAGGCAAATGCTGTAATTATTTTTCTTCTCCTCCTCAACAGCTGTGCCATAAAGCAAGCATGTGATCACTGTTCATTCAGTATCACACCATACGGGAAGACTCAGACATACAGAGAGCATGAAATGTAAACATTTATAAATGCATATAATAAAATGCCTTTTAGCCATTTAGCTCAGAGAATGAGATGTTATCCTTTGTATCCCATCAGAATGAACATGTATAGTGAGGCAATGAGTTGCTAAACCATGATATGAGCTGCTGCTATTCTTTCCCACCCATCTCCTCGAGAAAGCACAATTCCCATGAACTGGTTAAAACTTTTTCTTAAATAAACTGAAAATGGCTTTCTGTTTGTTTAGGAAACATATCTCATTAGGCAATGGTGAGTCTGGCAGCCAAATCGCTAGGACTTGTCTGTAATAACATTTTCACTTTAAACTGGGGCTCCACGTTCTGCTATCAAATTATGAATTTGGTTTTGAAGAGGTTCTTTGGAAGAGGGATGTTTTAACAGGCCTTCTACAGTGCAGGAGTGATCTCCCTTTATTCATTTTATGGCAAGCAAGAACTGGACACAAAGCTATGCTGAGCCTTATCCAACTGACAACAGTTGGATCTGGGCCTGCTCCCCAGTATCTCGAGCTTCAGGTCTCCATCCACTGCATTATTTCAATGTTCAAAGTCCCAGTGGTGTTGAAAGACAACATAAAGAAAGCACTGATGGAATCATTGTGAAGAGAAAATAACAGCAGCTCACTGCACGATTACATAAGTTGCAAGGTGATCTGGTTTTGCTCATTTAATTAGATATGTGTGTTTGTTCTATGCATGCACAGAAAACTAGCCAAAATTCTTTACCTTAAGTGGCTCTAATGAGTAAAAACATCCATTACTCTCAGCTGTCCCGTCACAGAGTTACAGATACCAACCTATTTTGCAGACACTTTGTAGACACCAGTTAGAAACTGTGAGTGGCAACAATCCCATCTGTTGTTCATTGCTAATTACTTTTATTTCAGAACATTGGTCAAATGTATTATTAATACTATCATTTTCTACAATGGACTGTAAATCACATAATTTCTGTAACTTGTGCTAATCCTGCTTAGTGGCCTACACAGCAAGTTTGTGTCCCATGCTAATACATCCTTCTCGGCATTGCAAGATGATAAAATAGAACTAAATATTCCCACACAATTTAAACCCTTGCAATGTGAGGAACACATACAGTCTTTACACCACTGGAATGTAATTGATTACCAGTTATTGATTTGACATTTCTCCGAATACCCTGCCACAATTCAAAATAATGCATTGCATTAGACCATGTATGTGAAAGGTAATAGAGGGTGATCTTAATGTTATTATATTCAAAAGCCATTTTTCACACTTAACAATATCTACTGAAAGCCTCTGTGAGAGTCGTCAGTTAAAGAGGTCTGAAGAAAGTGGTTTCCATGCAAAGAGGTTGGGAAAAATTTTGAAGTGATGGTATAAACCGAAGTTGTTTCAGCTTTCAGCAAGCCAAATTTGGACGAAGCCCACACCATTGCAGAACTGTTTTGATTTACACACTTTGCTCAAGTCTTGGCTTGACTTTCAGATTTTTCAGTTACATGTTGTATCTCTATGTACAGGCGCTAAACTCCTTCACCAGGCATGTAATTGTCCTTAATCTCCTGCTCTCTCTGACCTACCCCAGAAAGAGGAAAAGGAGAAAGAGATGGAGAAAGTGGGATATATATATATATTCCAGAAATCAATATCCGCATTTCTGTGTATTTCTGTGTGATATCAGAAGTGATAGCTTCTTGTATTTACTCCCCTATTTCATTATGATCCCAACAAAACCTATTCCCCTGCTTTTAAGAAGACACTCCTCCCCAACAAAAAGAAGAAACTAAACAAAAGCAAAGCTAAAATTCTGCAATTCTGTTATATGAGTGCAGTCCAAAGTGCTAGCTGACATAGTTAGTGGCAGTCATGAGCAGAGGTACAGGTTGCACTAGAAATGTAGGAGCAACTATAGATCCATAGTTCCCTCAATAAGCACAGAAGAAAATTAATCTTCACAATTCTCTTTTTAAAGTGAACCTAACATACAAGTTTGGTCTGTGGAAACATGATTCAATTCTTTCCTTCAATATCACTTGCTTATGAAACATTAGGCTTATCACTTATTTCAGCAGCACCTCAATTATGGCAATATAGTTGATATTAATTATTACACAGTATAGAGGCAGACAGCTATTAGAATAGGTTCTCCATTCTTGAGCTTGAGATTGTTGATATTGAGATATTCTTTAAAAATTGCTCTTCGAAGCCATGTCTCATTCTAGGATTAAACTGAAATATATTACACAGTAAGATTCCCTGAAACTCAAAATTCTTAATCATTAAATTTATTCATTAATGGGGAAAATTCTCAAAATCTAGAAGACTGGGAAAGAATTTACTGAAAGCCCACGTGTTAATAAAACTAAGCTATCTCCTCATACAGCACACACATTTCCAAAAATAGCCAGAAAGAGGAGAAAAGATAACATGATAATTGACAATGTTTCAAGATGTACTTTCTGAAGTATGTTGGCAAGTACTTCAACAAAGCTGTGTAATTGCACTATATGTTTCCAACAGATATGCCTATATTACTTTAATTAGTCAGACTGAAGACATTGATTTCATGGAATAGATGGACTTGGGCAAGGAGAAGTAATTTATTTTTTTAAAAAGTGTGTCTTTGATATTTAATCTGCCCTTTATCTAAATGCTACCCTACTCTATTCTCCCTCCTCTTTTTCAAAATTCAATCCTAAATTCCATCACGCCAAAGCAGTTTACAAAGACTTCTTACAGAAAATGAAAAAAATCACCAAAGAAGACAAAGTCTGCCAGCTCCTGTAATCATATGTTTTATGAAGAAAATTCGACCATCAGAAACTATATCCACATAAGAGATTCAGCCACAAGGCTTACATGCAGAGTAAAGCTGTCTTTGACCTCTGGCTTCTTCTGCAACTACTGATTAGAATCCATCTACATTGGAACATCAAACGTTAATAACTCTTTCTTTTTTTTTTTTTGCTTACCTGGGTTACATCTTTGGTTAATCAGGAGGTGAAAGGCTCCAGATCCCTTACCAATCTCCTGAGCCATCCAGTCTGCCTTTGCAATTACTCTTAATCTTCTAATCCTAAAATATTTTCTAATGCTCTTGTTTATTCATTTGCTTTGTGCAATATAGCATCCAGAACATTTTAACCATCCCACATTTATGAAGTTCTTCATGTCATGCAGGCCAGAACAGATTCCTGGCTTTCATGCAAGTTTTTGTAACACCACCCAGTCCTCTAACCTCCCCTATAGAGGTTCGCTCCCTCTCACTGCCTCTCTTTCTGCATGTAAAACCAGGAGAATCTTCATAGTATATTCTTAAAACTATTTACCTCACTGTGTTTGATTTACAGGTGGACAGAACTGTGTTGCACAAGTGATGTGAAGACTCAGGGCAAACTCCTGGCTTTCTGGGCTGTTCGTACTTACCAAAACAAGAAAGTAAATTATTGGGTCACACTCATTCAAGATAAGTGCATTCTTGACATTTATTCTGTTGCCACTGAAGCCAGAACAGT